GTCAGTCTCCTAAAATTATGCATGTGTCACTAATGCTAATGTGAAACAGCTGGATGAGTCTTTCAGTCAAGGAAACAAACCAGTCAAAGCACAAGAATAGTTGAACTATTTAGCCGAGCACAGGAGCCTTTCAGTTTGAAAGTAGTTTGTAAAACCTGAGGTAGCTCAAAGTGTCCTCCCTGACATGGATTATCTGGTCACCCTATTACCTACAGAGAGCAAGTTGGGAGCGACATAAAGAGAATTTCCCCACAGGCATCAGTAAAGTATCTATTATTATTAAATTCCCAACACTGTTTTTGAGGGGCACTGACGTAGCAGCCTGCTGACACCCTTATTGGCTAGTTCTAAGTAGGACCCACTATTTATTCAGAGAAGCTTTTCTTCACACCACTGTTACACTGAGCTGCTATTTTTGCATTTGTGTCCTTCCTGTTAGGCTTAATAAATCTGCCTGTTCTGCTCTCACCTATATCATTAAGGTGCTTTCAGCAACAGAAATACCCCAGACTCGATGTTTTTCGTTCATTTCACCATTCTGTATGAACCCCAGATGCCAGCATGTGTGTAAATCCCAGGATGTTGGCTGTTTCTCAGATGTTTGAACCAACATGTCTGGAACCAAGAATCACACCAGGCGTCTTAGCCAGTCTAATGCTTTGTTGGTCAGTCAGTCTGTTCGCTGTAGTTTGTATTCAGCTGCAGACTCATGATTCGTTCTTTGGAGGAGCAGGCTGTGTCAGGTACCCAGCACATGCACCTGTTCACCTGGCCACAGAGTATACTATAGGAGTACAGTATATATATGTATCAATAAACATGCTTTAAGCCTTAAACATGGATGTGATGTAAAGTGGTGACGCATTCGAAATGAAGAGTAAAAGATGCTGTGTTGATATCTTGTAACTCTTTGATTCTGTGGACTGCAAAAAAATCAATAAAAAATATATCAAATTAACACACTGCAGTTAAAGAAAAACCTGAAAGACAAAGTAGAAGTGAATGTCAGTTTTTATTCTGTGGGTGTCAAGCCCAGGCTCTTATACATTAGTGTCAGGATCAGTTCACACCATTGATTTTGAAAAAAGGAACTCAAGTATTTCCTACCACTCTTGAGCTACAGTAACACCAAACATGGAAAGGATAAAGCGTTAAGCATTACATGAAATAACACGTGGAAACATCCTGTAATTTTATGTTAATTCCCAGCCAATGGAGAAAGGCAATTGGAGTTAGTTAAGAATGGGCAGAGCAGTAGGCTGTAGAGGAGAGAACACGGTATAACAGGAGAACATCACACCAGTTATCTTCAGGAGAACAAACCACAGTAAGCCATCATAGATAAATCTGACCTCCTCATACATTTTCACTGGCATTTTCAGAAAAGTGCCATTTTTAAGATACTTGAAGCAAATTCTGTATCCCAAACTTATAGAAAGATCATAAATGCTTATGCACAGCACTTTTCATAAAATATTTAAGAAGTTGGGCACATTGTTAGCACATAGCAGAGGTATAATTCAGCTCACAGTAGATGCTTAAGTGTTTCTGTCTCTATTTTCACATTTGTCAGATGCTTGGTTTAGGAGAAAACCTTCGCCTCTTTGGATTGTTCATTGTTGTCTTGTTTGCCCTCGACTACGGTAAGCTGTCAGACAATGCAATAAAACTGCATCTTTGTAATATTCATATTATGGTCATATTCTGACATTTATCTATGAACATTTTATTTAAGAATGCTTTTTGGAGCTTTTCATGTGTTTAGGCTCATTTGTGTTGTCAGAGATCTTTATGTAGAAGTATTTAATTTCCCATTGAAAGCATCTGCTCAGCATCTCAGTGGGTAACTGTTTGCTCGCACCTTGAGGGCAGGGATTCGAATCCCACTCTGGCTCTTTTTATGTGGAGTTTTCTTCTCCCTGTATTGTGTCACCGTGTCACCTTGGGCTCCACACTAGCATTGTGAGTGGGTAAGGGGGTAAAATTTGCAGAGATGAGTTATATTGTTCCTTGAGTATATACAGTACCAGTAAAGAGCTGGGTCCTCTGAATCAGCCAAGGTAGTCATGTGCCTCCGACGCCCCTGCGTTCGGCTCCAGGCCAGTCTGTGCTGAATAGGCTGCTTGGAGATGGATGGATGAAGGTACATTGACCAAACAAATTCTCTAATAACCTGTGTGTGGTGTGACACAGGTATGGTGGCTAAAACCAAGGTGGAGGCTTGGACCTATCACTACAACATCAGCCTCAGCAGAGACTGGAATTCTGCCAGGCAGTTCTGCTGCCAGCATTACACAGACATGGTGGCCATCCAGAACCAGAAGGAAATCGCACATCTCAACGAGATCCTTCCGCGGAACCCGAAATACTACTGGATCGGCATCCGGAAAGTGGGCAATGTCTGGACGTGGGTTGGGACCAATAAGACCTTGACTAAGGAGAGTGAGAACTGGGCAGCCGGAGAGCCCAACAATAAAGGAAGCCAGGAAGACTGTGTGGAAATATACATCAAAAGAGAAACAGAAACTGCCAAGTGGAATGATGAGAAGTGCACTAAGGAGAAAGGAACCATTTGTTACAACGGTAACCCATTCCAGACAGATTCATCAACAGCCAGACACATTACATTTAATATAATTAAATACAACAAGCTATTACTTACACCGGTGCTTCTCAAGCTGGTCTTCAGGGACCCAGAGCTCCCAGACAATCAAAGACACCAAATACCTGGTACAGGTGTGTTTGTAACTGGGAGGGAGGGAAAATGTGGAAAAGTCTGGGGGTCCCCAAGGACTGGACTGAGAAACACTGACTTTTACTGCTTGGTTGGTGGCACTATAACTTACACTGTCATGGAAGCATGATTAGGTCATAGATATCACAGTGGTGCAGTGGGTAGTACTGCTGTCTAACACCTGCAGGGGTTAGGGGGTTAACATTCACCCCCACTCTGTGTGTGGAGTGTGACCATTCTCTCCAAGAAGGCCTGGACTGGTCACTTTCCCAGTGGGCCGTGGGGTGGGGGAGGGGCATAATTTATCATGGGGGACCCTGAAGTACAGGGCCAGTACGGTTGCCAGATACTCCTCCTACAGTCTCAAGTCACGCAGATAGGCAAACTGATGTCTCCAAATTGCCTGTAGTGTGTGGCTGTGTGTGGATGTGCTCTGTAATGCACTGGTATTGCATCCAAGAGGGTCCCCTGTCTTGTGTCCTTTCTGCTTGGGACAAGGTCCAGCCCGAGGCCACCCTATACTGGATATAGGTTGGGTTGGGATATTCAATAGATATTATTTATCCAACCACTGATTTTAGTTCATTGTGACAGCATCAGTAAAGATTGTGAGCATGAATATCCATGACCAAAGGGTGTCCTTTGATGAGAATGAATCCGTGATTGTGTCCCCTTTCCGTTAAGCCTCCTGCAGTCCACATGCCTGTAGCGGCTACGGAGAGTGTGTGGAGACCATCGGAAACTACAGCTGCTCGTGCCAGCCAGGCTTCCAGGGGCCGCACTGTGAGGAAGGTCAGGAGCTGCCGACTTCTCTCCCGAAATCTTCCATCTGAAACAGCCACTTAACTGTCTCCAGTGGCCGTTTGTCATCAAGCAATGCACCTTATTGACAGCTTATCAAAGTTTCTCATTTTTTATCCCTTTAATTCTCTATGGTGATAAGTCAATATATTGTTATATCATCCAGCCCTATTAGACAGTATGTTCTGATACAGCTTGACAGCAGAGAAACAGAATTATTTGCATAGAATGCAGTGATTTTAATGGCAACACAATCTACATCAGTTTGATGCTGGTTGAGGGTCACTGGTGTAGAAAATGCACCTGGTTGAGCATCTTGTCCTGACAGCACGTCTTTGTTCCAGCTCAGCGCTGTAGGATGCTAACAGCTCCCCCCCATGGGAACCTGAGCTGCTCCCACCCCTATGGAAATTTCAGCTTCAACTCCAGCTGTGATATTCGCTGTGAGGAAGGCTACTTCCTGAACGGGACAGCGTCCACACGGTGCGGCTCCCTGGGGACGTGGACAGAGACCCCAGGAATGTGTCAGGGTAAATCAGCCTATTCCTGCTATTGATGAGCACAGTGCATGGATTTCTATGGATTTATATAAATGTGTTATGTGAAATATTAACCTAAAGACAGATTTCCCAATAATGATTTTGATATTTAGGGTTTTAAAAATCCGACATATTAGCGGATGTTAATTTTTTTCCCTTCTGAAACACATAAGATAAAAAAAATTCCATTACATTTGCTGTGTTTAGTTATTGAAACATCCTCACCATGATAACATGTGAAATTGCACCGGCGTGGACTTAATACCATAAGTCAAGGGTAGGCAGCCACCTGAAGCCCCCGAACACCAGCGGACCCATGAAGACGCAACTTCCAGAAGTTACATATACCATTATATGATAATTTAAATGTTAGCAATATGTATGTTGTTTGCAATTTTAGCAACAGTTCGCAGGATAGACAAAGTTGCCCCCGTGGCAGCTGTAATGGCGTATTCCACTTTGAAACATTGAGCTACCCAGCTCCCTGTTACCAGCGGCCCTGCCAAATGAACTGGCACAAAGTAACCAGGAAACGGTACAAAGATACAACACTATCCAACAGCATTCCCACTCCCACCCTGATCGATTAGTTTTACTGCTGGCATCCTGCACTTTGATTAGAATATTATTGATGTTCCATCGTTAAAAATTCCCTCTCGTTTCTCTTTTGGCTGCAAAATATCTCCAGTGGCCCCCTACCCATGTCAGGCTAGGCCCCCCAGAGAAGTAATTTCATCCCTTAAAATGCAGTTTAAAAATACGCTTGTTTTATTGTTATATTTAGTACTACTGTCAGGATCTCTCCCTGTCATGTCCGCCCTGTTCCCGTTTGGCCAGCAGATGTCGCTGGCACCCCATTTTCCCAAATTTTTCTGATGATTCCTAGCCTTAGTGTTTAATTAAATAGTGCATAACTGTTATGTCCGTTCGGGGCGAACTGCTCTGTGATTGTTAGGTGATGCCTGATCGTGGTGAGGGGTGAGCGGCGAGTTTGATCTGGAGGGAAAGAGTTTTTCCGGTTGTTGATTAAAGTGATTTTGCTTAGCTGAATCCCCATGTCCAGCATTTCCTTAAGCACACAACAATGACTCCCACCCCTCCTTCATCTGGTCTGCATTTTCTGCGTATTTATGTGCCCACCGGTGCCCTGTTACTTCTTTAGTCATTGTGTGTCTCGTGAGGTCCCGTCATGTGTAAATGCTGTAGATCAGGGGTGGCCAATCTTATCTGCAAAGGGCCGGTGTGTATGCAGGTTTTCGCTCCCTAATTAGATTACTAATTAGATGACTGATTGGCTGAAGAGTCCTCACACCTGGGTTTGAACAGCTGACCTAAAGGTTGCCCCAAAAACCTGCATACACACCGGCCCTTTGCGGATAAGATTGGCCACTGCTGCTGTAGATGATAAATGTGTCTTTCTCTGAGTTTCCTTGCATTTAGTTTCAGCTCCTGTTTGTTCCTGCTTCACCTACCTGCCTTTGTTTTGACCACTCGTGGTCCCCGGTTCCTGTCTTGTATTGAGTTCATAACGAAATCCCCGTGTTGTCAGTAAGCCGCTCTCTGGATCCATCCCTGTACCCCGGCGTGACAACATTGAACAAAAGTACAACAAAATATATTAAAGTTTTGTTCGAAAAGAGTCAAATCTATAAAAATAAAAACATGTTGCTGACAGGGGAGTTGTGGTGTGCCCTCTGATGGACAAACTACGCAACACGGTTGAAGGATTCGCCTTCCATATCCCCAGTTCAATTATCGGCTACAAACGCTTATAATGATTAATCTACGATTATCTCATATTGGCCAATAAAATAGGCACGCTACTTTATCGCTTGGACTCATAGATACTGCTGACAGAGATGACGATAGTGTCCTGAGCACTATGGACTATATACAGTGTCAGTTCAGTTTAACATATTCAACAGGGTAATTTTTAACAACAGCAAAAATGTTGGCAGGCATAAGTGTCACTAGTGATTTATGAAAATGTACATGTATTTGGTAGGCTAAAGAAAACAGCCCTACCAATACTCCTGTTACCAGGTAAATCCATCAGGTTTTGTGGAATTGGGTAAAATGAAGCAAATGGGTGAATAGTCTTATGATAACATTTGAGGTGATTTACCTGTCCGATTGCAGAGCAATGCAACAACGCAAATGCAACAGACAGCTGGAGACAAAGATGCAGAGAGACTTTCAGCAGCTACTGGTGCCACTGCAAGGAAGATCTCAGCGAACAGAACTGCAAAGTTGGTGAGAAAGTGGACCTCATGTCAGTCTCTGTTTTATCGCTCATGGTTCTACAGCTACATATAGCCTGCTTAGGGATGACATGGCGGTGCAGTGGTGAGCACTGTTACCTCACACCTCCGGGGTCAGGGTTTGAGTCTCTGCCAGGGTTCCATGAGTGTGGAGTTTGCATGTTCTCCCCATGTCATTGTGGAGTTTGCATGTTCTCCCCGTGTCATTGTGGAGCCTTCAGTTGGCAGCATATATTTACTGAGCACAGCATAGTGTTACACTTTGACAATGGAAGAACAACAAGGAAATGAACGGGGTCAGCGGCTGGTGAGAAGAAGAGGAGTAAGGCTGCATGGTGGAAGGGTAGGGAGGCAAATCAGAGGAAGAGGTAGGAGAGGCCAAGAACAGAGGCACCTTCCTGATGAAATAAGGGCCACAACATGGACCATGTCCTCAATCATGGCCTTACAAAGGCCGAGGCCGGTCAAAGGGGGCAGTCAAGTGTTGGGGGAACAATCATGTCCTCAATCATTCAAATGTTTCATAGAGAGAACAGGTATGCAATCCAACAATGTGCCCTGTACTGTAATACTGTATACTTCCTGCAATGCTTCATGTTACAGTATTCCACTTGCATTTTATGGTATACAACTGTTATATACTTTACATATACTGTAGCACACACATGTCATGGTTCTGGACGGCACGGGAACGGGAACGGGGCATGGTGCACAAAGAAGGGGCGGACGACCCACTTGCGGCTCCAGCAAACAAAACAGGGTTTATTAAACAAAACAGAAAACACAACAAAACCAAAAAGACCACGAGGGGTCAAAACTAAAACAGGGAGGAATTAACTAAACTAAATAACACACAAGGAAAACTAACTAG